ACATACACACACACGTAGTGTGTATGTAATGTGCAAGTTGTAACAGTAGTAGTTCTGTTGATTAGTGCAAATTACAGCGCTGATGTAAACATCTATGTTTGTTGGGAGCAGTTTTGGTTGTACAGTCTGACAGCTGCAGGGAGAAAGGACCTGCGGAAACACTCGTTCACGCATCTAGGATTCAGCAGTCTGTCACTGAAGGAGCTCTACAGTTCAGCAACATTTACATGCATGGGATGGGAGACTCTGTCCATCAGAGATGTTATTTTGGCCAGAGTCGTTCTGTCTCCCACCACCTGCACTGGGTCCAGGGTGCTTCCTAGAACAGATTTAAGCCTTGCTGAACCAGGAATGTCATCCTCAGCTTTTAACTCATAGGGATTACTTATACATACTCAGACTTCATTATTTACAACTTTGACTACAAAAAACAGGAAGCTGCCGTTGTAAGAATGTATACTGTATATGACAGGAAAACTGGAAAATGTGATAGATAATAGCTTTGAATGTTTTAATGCCACATTTTATCATGTAGAGTCCAGATAACTGAGTCAATTCCACTCTTCAGTCAAGTTCTAATACAGCCAGAAGAGTTAGACGTCACAATTATTACTGTTGGTTTTTTTTTTTTGGTTTTTTTTTCTCCCCACAGTCCTAAAATCCTGAATCATGGAAGCAGCAGCTCATCCTCTCCAATAGGAAATGGTTTCATCACCAAGGAGATGTTTGGAGCCCAGGTATCATCCAGAGTGACACCAGTGAAGGCACGGAGAGATGGTGGGTTGTATGACAACGCTGATGTCATGAAAAATATAGGGGCAGTAGTAGGAGCAATATATTTACAAAGACAAAAATTATCTGCTCGTGGTTAAACTCTGCCTGTCTATATCTATGTATATGTTGCAGCAGAGAGAGGAGCATCCAGCAGCAAATCTAGTGATGTGTCTCGACCAGACCCCTTCCTGTCTGTCAGACCGTCTCATCTGCAGCACAGAGGTCAGTCCCCCTGCAGTGTGCCTTCAAAGGGTTCCTGAAAGATTTCATATTTTAAAGCTACCAGGAAATTTTAGGATTTTTAGAGATTTTACTGAACAGCTGAAAGAAATACTAAACCTTCCTGACCTTACACAGTTGAGTTGTTTGTAGCTAGTTCTGTTTCCCACACACAGTCTGTCAGAAAATAGCCTGTACACCCTTATGCTACAGTCAGGCTACACAATGTCTGCCTGATTGTGATCCAGCTCATGTATGTATCAGAATTTGAAATAGGTTACATGTAGGTTGTTTTATTTCATAAAGCGTGACATAATACACAAAAGTGACTCTGCATCTGGGACCTCATTACCATGCGATTTTTCTTGTACTGTGGAAGGTACAAATTTCTGTACCCTCCTAACGGTTCCTTCATTTCTGTGAGGTTCACCACCATCTATGCAGCATTCTGCCAGCTATTTGTTTTCTGATGCTCACTTGATGTAGGGTCATCAGAATATACACGGAATGGGTCAGAAACAGTAACAGCACACAGCTTCAATAAATGTTCCACCACATATGCAGACTGTTATCAGCTGCCGTCAACTATCAGAATCTGTAAAGGAACCGATGTAAACGTTTATTGGTATATGTTCAGTTATATTTTCTTTTATCTATATTGCGCCAAATCACAACAAGGGTTGCCTCAAGGTGCTTTACCTTACAATAATACAAAGATAAGAGAAAACCCCAACAATCACATGAGTGAGTATTAATCTGATTAAAATCTGTGTCTGTTATTCTGTGTCATCCTCCAACCAGGTGGCATCCTGCTGGGGCTATTGCTGCAGCAGCCTCTTTCTCCCAGTAGCCTCGGGCTCTCTCATTTGCTGAGTATGAGTCTGACTGACATTCATCTGACATCCAGGTAAACACCTTGCACTTTAATCTTGACAGCCTGAGCAGTAACATGTAGTGTAATATGTATAAAGCAGTGCTGTAATAGTTACTGGCAAAGTAGAAAGAAAGGTTTAACATTTGTGATGATAGAATAAATTTTATGTAATAACAGCTTAAATGAAGTATATCAATAAATTAATTTATCCAACTTTAGGAACAAACATATTGTGGGTTTCTTTTGTTGTTGATGTTGTTGTTTGTTGAAATTGACTTCAACAAGCTACCAGACTTCAAATTTGGATAATCAGTCATCACATGCTGTTGCCAAGTCCTCAAAAACAGAACCTTTTCATACAATATACAAAACTTTATAGCATTGACTTTACCCTAATAGTGTTTCAAAAACAGCCGTAGCATTGATTGTATCACTAGTCATACTTCTCAAACCTAAATGAAGTTGTAAGACTAACTGATGTGCTGATGTTGTGTGTTGTTTATGTGTTCAGTCGGCTGTCAGCAGGTTTTCTGCTCAACTCTGATGCTGCAGCTGGTGTCAGTGGAGCTGGAGCTCCCAGAGCTGCTCTTAATCCTGTCCAGAGTCTAGCTGTAACTGGACTCAACATGCTGAGTCAGAGCCAACCGGCATCTGCAGCCAGCAGCAAAAACAGGTAGGATGACTGACCCTGATGCCGTTCAGTTGAAACAATAAAAAGTCTCTCTTTGCAAAGTGCAGAAGAACAGCATACACTTTCTGATCTATAGACAGCAGAGTCCTCTTGTGGATAAACCGTGTAAAAGCAGATTAAATGGTCTAATGTAATATGCTGAAAATTCTCCCCATATCGTACATGAATTCTGTCCTTGGCTCTGAAGGATCTCTGTATATAGATTACTTTGATATTTTTTTGAGCACATCAAAAGAGTGTTTCATTTGTTTTAAATCAAATTTGATAGGTTTTTTTCAAGATATGTGGTGAAATACCTGATACTTTTATTCGTTATTGCTTTAAAATATTTTATGGAATCTATATAAAATGCAGAATCAGTAAATGGTAGCTTCCAAAGTCAGTGAGTTGAGGCATATCACTTCTGCAGTGTAATTGTCCATTTACATTGCTAACCTTTTAACTTCTCGGTGTAAAAATACATTTTTATTAACTACTAACAATTTTTTAAAAGCAATAAAAGCTACATAGAGTTGTAGGCCAGCTAAATATTTAGCATTTTAGTCCTGGTGGTTATGTTAACTTATTTTGTCATTGGTGAGAAACTTTGTGGGCATTGCTACAAGGGCCATATATTTATATGGAGTGTTATGTTGTTTTTATAATTGGTTTTAAAGCACCAGTATAATAATAAAAAAAAATCATTTTCACAGAAGTGGAGTTTGCATGTTTTCCCCGTGTTTGCGTGGTTTCTCCCTGGGTACTCCGGCTTCCTGCCACAGCCCGAAGACTTGCACTTAGTGTGGTTGGGTTAATTGGTGATTCTAAATTGCCCATAGGTGTAAATGTGAGTGTGAATGGTTGTCTGTCTCTATGTGTTAGCCCTGCGATAGACAGGTGATCTGATCAGGGTGTACCCCACCACTCGCCCTGTGACAGCTGGGATAGACTCCAGCCCCCCTCATAAAGATAAGTGGAAGAGGATGGCTGGATGGAGAAGTGTAATAAATTTTCCTAACTTTCCAGTCTGAAACAGATGACTGGAAAGAAAATTTTATCATTAAACCTGATTAATTTCTGGCTTTGTTCTTCCTGCATGTACTCTCCTCTTTAACACAGAATTATGGAGACAAACTCAAAACAACGGCAGCTAAAGGAGTGAAAACAGCATGACAGCTACTGCCTTGCTGATAGACATATCAGTCATTAGATGGCTATTGAGAAAGGCGAATACAGGGCAGATTCATTTTTTAAGGATTAATGGTTTAAGTCAGAACGAGAAAAATATCTTCATGGAAAATAACCCACTGGTTGTAGGTTAAACGATTTGGATAGAAAAATCAAAAAAAAAATAAAATAAAAATTGTGTATGTAAATAGGTCGTGTCCTGGAGGTGTCCTCCTCCTCTCTCTGTTGGACCTTCACCTGTCTCAGCTATGCCAGTCTCTGGACTCGCTCCGCTCCTCCTCCGCTAGCAGCAGTGGTTTAGACTCTTCAGCTGCCAATACACTTCCAGCAGGCCGCACTGCTGCAGCTTCTGCTGGGCTGCGAAGACTGGAGGAGGCTCGTTTATGTGGGTTTAAAGTGGAGGACATTGGCCTAGCTGCTCTGAGGCTCCTTTGTCTCCTGCTTGTCCACAGTGATGAGGTGATGACACAAGAACAACAGTATAGTAACAATGTGTAATGGTGGCTCAAATATACAAATTGCAAACTGCATGGTGAATGTCGAGAGTTTTTTCCTGATCTTCGTCACAACTCCATAT